GCCTGGAACTATTGGACGAGAGGCACGAGGCCGCCCTCGTCCGGTTGGCCGCCAAAAAATAACGGATCAAAAGGTATTATAACTGGAGAGCCAACCTCTGACACTTCAATATCGGGGACTTGGTGTTAAGAAAGGTGACACTAAACACCCGGAACCCGAACGAAGGGAAGCTGGGACCGAATTGGGAAGGCCCATATCGAATTATAGAGATTACCGGCAAAGGATCATACAAACACGAAGCAGGGAACGGTGAGCGACTACCGAACAACTGGAATGTAACCCACTTAAAACGATACTACTGCTAAGGTACGACCCCATCCATTCTTTTCTTTACATATATTACGAATTGGACTAACACTTACAAGCAACGGCCAAAGAATGATGCAGATATTAGGCCTGAAAGAACGCGTTGCACTCTTTTTTTCTTGAACCGATTTTGTCTCAAATGGGTTTTCTGGTAAGGCAAGAGTAGATCGTGCTAACTTAGAATTGAAGACCGGTTATGAACCGGAGTCCAGGGTCGCATCAACAGTATCTGAGCCCTCTCAACGAGCGACCTCGAATACTAGGGGCCACCACCCTCGGATAATGATTCTAGCAAGGAAGGAAACTTTGTCCTTGAACAGTTTGGGCTCGGTGGATAGGATTTATTGTAAGGGCCAAATGATCAAATGAACCGTGCCCACATAGACGACTTAAGCCATAACACGAAGCTTGTACACATTTGCAATCTTGTATGTTGCACACAGAAATAAAAGAAAGTTTCCACCTTGCAGATATATATTTTGTCCCTTAAGACTATTACATTTTGTTCCTTAAGAATAGATATTGAGCCCAAGGGCTGCCTCTATCCGGATCCAAGAGATCACCCCCATTTGGGGATTGTCGTCCAAGGCAAACTCGAATGGCTCAGGCTATCAAAGCCCGGGGGTACAGAGCCTATTAGGTAATACCCGAACTTAAAAGGCTACGCCCAACCTAGAAATGGTTCGGAGACATCCGAAGCCCGTAATCAAAACATAAGGCCTTCAAAAATTCCAAACCAGTTCAAAAGCTACTCTCGGCAAAACTATAATCTAAAAATATTTAAGTAAGCACTTTGGGGAAAGCTTCCAGTCATACCAAACCCCCACGAGTTTCAAATAAAATTAAATCGAGAACGAGCCTTGTTCGAACCTCCGAACAAGACCCTATTATTACGTTTTATTTCATGCTAAGGCATTTGAAATCTTTGCAATCATAAAGAAGAAACCAAAAGTAACAAACTCGAAAATTGCCAAAGGGAAAAAATAAGCCTTATATATAAATAAGCCTTATATATATAT